ATAATTGTTGTCCTGAGAAGATTGTCCTGAGCCCATTATGTGTAGAGTAATTGTAGTTCTCATTTAAAGTTATTAAAATGGTTGCTTTGACTTTCAGTATTTTTTATGTGTCTGTTTATAATTGATCTTTGTAACAATAGCCGTAGGCTCCATCATTGTGCTAACATCATCATTAATTGAGTTACTGCAATGGGGCTTCTGCTCACTGACATTATGATGGGGACAAGGATTTTAATTCTATTTCAAAACTCCCCAAGTGATGCTTATTCACAGAGCCCCAGGCTGTTTGGCCTTACAGGTGTGGAGCCGTTACCAACTGATTTATATGCATTTATTTTATTCTTTTCCAGGTAGAAAACTCAAAAGCACATCTGAGTGCCTACAGGGTTAAAAAAAAAAAGTATCTTTCTTTATTGTCTGAGCTTAACAAGTGACAGAGGTCTAGATCAAACGTCTCTAGTGTGACAGTCATGTGCTTCATATGCCCCCCATCAATCCCACCCACCTCCTGCAGGCTCTGGTATAGTTCATGTCATGCTTTTTCTTTTAGCATTTATCCTTTGTTATTCACCTACTTGAGTTATCACCTCCTCTACAGTGTTTCCATGTATCCCTTTTTTTGTTTTAAGTTGCTGTTCTTCTGTTTCATCATCTTATGTTGGATTTATTGCTGATTATCCAGCTATTTTCTAGTGTGCATGCAAGTAACTTTGATTAAAGTTTGCTTTTGATTTCAAATCTGTCTGAATTGGATTTCTTCATTTGGCGGCCTTAGCTGAACATTTTCTTTCATTCAACCCTAGCCCACTCAGACATTTAATTGCACAGAGATTAGAGTGCAGTTAAATAAATTTTCAAGAAAGTACCGTAGCTGTACAAAGGACTCCATGGTAAGATGGCAGCCACTATTGTGACTTACAGGGAGTCTAATATGTTTTTTTTTCTAATATGTCTAATATGTTTTTAATGATTTTACTGTTGCAATACAAAACATGTTAAAATGTTAGTGTATGTACAAGTACAAGCTTTCAATGCCCAGCTTCACAGTTTTCTATACTCCTGGCTCTGTATAGCAGAGGTTATTGCGTATACACTTATCTTGGCCTTACATCCATGAGTTGCATGCAAGCCCCACCCACTTGCTTTACACTTGTGTGTTGTGTGGCAATTGATCAGGAAAAAAAAACTTGGGGGGCTAAAACAGTTCAGAGGATGATTTTTTGTCCAACTCCCATCGTCCTCATCCAGTTGTGGCAGATAGCTGCCGCTTCCTGAGCCCGGTGCTGTGTGTTCCTGTTAAAAGGGAGTTTTTCTTTCCTACTGTCACAAAGTTCTTGCTCACAGATAGTTGGCTGATTGCTGGGGGTTTCTTTCTTTTATTATAGGGTCTTTACCCTAAAATATACACCAATTTGAGGCAACTGTGATTTCGTGCTATATAAATAGAATTCAGTTTAATCGAATTAAATAGAACTAAAAGACAAATAAGCATTATTTTAAACTGCATTATACACAGCTGCTCTAGTAAAATCCAAAAATGAAATAACGCTGGAGCTGAAATGAGCAGAACAGTGCGCTTTAAGCCTTTTATTTTTGAGCAATTATTGTTTGTTAAATGCTTCTCTTTTTGGGGAATCAGGGGACGTCTCTTCTCAACCCACAATTATCCCTTTTTAACCTTTGCCTTTAGAGATTTACGTAAAAAAATGCTTGTTTTCAGGAATAGCACAAGTGGATCAATATATATTAGTGACTGCACATTAGCTATTAGAGAATAAAAGAGCAGAGCCTTCCGTTCACTGCCAACTCATCAAGCTTATTGCTATTTCACATCTATAAGAGGAAAGACACATGTGGACACTTTTTTTCACCCATTTCTCTGTAACTCTGAGCTGCATAAGCAGAAGAAAACAAAGATTCAAGAGCTTTTTTAAAAAGGGTTCTCTCCTTTACATATGAAGGCTCCTCCTGAAATTCTCTGTCAACACAAACCAACACAGTCTCTGGGACCATTGTGTGTTATGGTACATTTCAGGAACAAATACACACACTTTGGAAATGTACGACTCGTGTTTACATGTCAGAACATGCCACTTTATGATCAGATTTGAGGCGTGACACACTGAAGACGCAGACTCTTCTCCTGTTTGTTGTAAACATCATGTGATGTTTGCCGGCGGTGGCCGTTGAGAGTGGAGTGTAAACAGAATATGAATGCGGTGCGAGCACAGAGAAAGACTCAGAGGGGACACCGAGACAAAGACATGAAAGGACAGAGACGAGCAGAGAGGCCCAGCTGGAAGGAGACTGAAAATACCCGAAGGTTAATTTGCAGATTTTCTCCTGAGTCCAACAAACAACAGCTGCTTCTGTTTGATTTCAGCTTTCTCTGCTGTAGAAAAATAAGACTAGCTTGTGTTTCATTAGAGGTGCTATCACGGATTCTAATTGTACGGAAAAATCTTGTGGTACTGACAACATTAAAAGAAACACCTGTTCATCAGCTAGTCTGAAGAAGACCTAATGTCTTCATGTGGCAAGTAAACTTTTCTGTCTGTCACTTTCTAACTTTAGTTCTGTGTGAAAAAAAACAAAGCCCTGCCATTTAACTAAATGAGAATGCCAATTAAGTTGTGCAAAAAGAATATACGGTCATCTGGAAGACAATATAAATGGGCCTTAAACCTGCATTCTTGACCAGCAGGGGGCGACTTATCTGGTTGCAAAGAATTGCTCTTTGTATAGTAGTCTATAGGGAAAATAGCTCTGAGTTCCCTTATCTTGGTCCAGGTGAGCACTTTAAAACAGGACTGAAAGCTAATTTAAGTAAGCCGCACATGCAAATCCCCCCAAACACTTTCTCTGCCTGAGGCACTGACTTCTCGCTGACTCCTCACAAACACGAGTGGTGCAAAAACAAATTGCTGTAAGAGTCATGTTTAACTGCTCGTGACACAGATGAGTTCACTGTTACTGGCACTGACAGCTTTTTTTTTTTTTTTTTTTTTTTTGAATGTGTGTTTATGTGGGGGGGAAAGTATTTTCGGCCCAGTGGGCGTCATTTGACCACTGACCTAATTCTGGCTCTGGTCACCGCAGGACAAATTTCACCCTGCAGTCCAGCGCTGTTCCTGAGGTGATGCTGAGAGACTTCATGCACGATAAACTTCCCTACAGATTGTGCTGACTTTAAAGCACAGCAGCAGCCTGATGGGATTCAACTACAAATATAGATTGCTTTCAGTCTTGTACGAAGCCTGGGGGAAGTTTAGCTTTCGCAAAGCTTGATGTGAATATATCCGTATAATTTTAGGGTAAGCCTACATCTGTGAAGCAAACAACAAAGTTTTGAAAGATGCTACAAAGACATTTTACTGTAATTAGAGGAAAATAACAATTTAGAACATTATTCATCCCAAATTATATAAAAGTTTTATCTTGGGAAATAGTTTTGTGATCCCAAGACCTTAACACAAACAATTAGTTTCTGGTTTTGTGACAGAATTACACACAAATCAGGGCACAATTAATGATGAGAACATTTTGTTTTAGACTTCTAGAAGTTTGTTTTCTGATCTGGAATACAGGAAGGTTTCTGCTTGGTTTCAAATTGACACTACCAGCCTTAAAGAACCAGCTTCTCTCCTGAAACAGATGGTCTGGAGCCTTGATTATAACATTAGGAGTGATTCTGGCAACTGAAAGACCTTTTATTTAAATATTTAGCAGAGGTGTAATTCTCAAAAGCCACACTTCAGAGTGGATACCTCAATTTTTCTTTCCACAGTCTATAGTTTTTGTTTTGTTTTGTTAGTGGGGATTGATATTAATAATGAGGGGAAACCAATTTTTACCACAGGCGTGATTCCTCAGTTAGATCATGGATTAAAAATTAACTCAGTTTATTTGTAGCTCTCGCTTTCCCTGAATGACCTGTGCACATTGTAGCTATCAGCAGACTTGTATGCTTTTAACATGACATTTACAGCTCCACGTAGATAACCGACATAAGTACGTGGCTAATTTGTACATCATCACATAAGAACATTATTAACAGGCTTTTTCTGCTAAATGCTGCCTACTCTCCACACAGAGAGTGTTTTATCTCTATATTTCACCAGAAAGCTTTTCTAGCATACCGGTAGTTAGGTCAGCTATTTCTCTGTCAGTGAAGAGTCATTATTCAGAACTCTTCTGTTACATATTCTCAGTCTCATCTGTTTTTACAACTAATTTAATCTTGTTGAACCTGAACTTTTTCAGGGGATATCTGAATACACAATGAATTTAAAAATAAATAAAATAAAAACTACAGAAGTCTCTAGACATTCAAATGGTGATTTTCATATTTATCAATATTTACCAATATCAGTTTATCATTTAGCCTTTTAAATATTTTGTCTGTAAACTTTGGGGGAAACGGTTTGCCACAGCTGCTGAGTTACAGTCCTAGGATGTTCATAATTACCTCTACACAATCGCTTCACAGTAAAAATTGCTAGCACTGATATGAAATGAATTAGATTTCAGGAAAAAATACATTTTGAAAATAATTGCTACAAACCAAACAATCAACAGAATCCTTGAGCACCTTCAGTTTGAATGCACGAGCTGCTGAGGAGCAGTCAGACAATAAATACAAATATATTTTATTTATGAAAACCTCCTGAAGCAAACAGTCAGCTCAGAAAAACAACAACAACACTGCATTTCTGGAGGTTATCTGTCAATGTAAGAAGGCCAACTGTTTTCACCCTATTCTGTTTGCTTATTCATTTTTATTTATTTTTTTAATTTCCACAGAGGTGGAACAACTCTTGTTATTTTTTTTTCCTTTTTTCCCTAAGGAGCATTGGTAAATTTTGCTCTTTAATTTTACACAGAAACCTTTGTGTGTTCTTGTTTTTCTATCCAAGTTAGGACGTAAGTTGATATTTGACCAAGTAAGGACTGTCATGCGCCTGGTAGGAAAGGGTCATATAATAATTGTATTTCCTCACCTAGTACACTGAGCTCAGCGTATGCAGTGATGTTGTGGTTCTTGTTGGAGGCTGTACAGCTGTAACTGCCAGAGTCGTCATCAGTGACACTTCTGATGATCAAGTTGCTGCCCGCCAGTAGAGAGTACTTCTTGTTCCTAAAAGGGAGGAAAGAGTTTTTGCATTTCATTATTGCTTCTTTGTTACTTGCATAGAGGAACGATCAGCCTAGCTTTGATACCTAAATAATAAGTTATTTCTATATATACTTGTTGCCCATGCAACTGATCTACACAACTATCTGACCCATTGCTGCAGCTCAGAGCATTTAGGCATGTAGATATGGTCAAGACAATGTGATAAAGTACAAACAGGGCATTGGAAATGGGAAGAAAGGGGATTTAAGTGACTTTGAACTTGGCATGGTTCATTATGCCAGACAGCCTGGTCTGAATATTTCAAAAACCAATAATCTGCTGGGATTTTCCAACACAACCATCTCTACAGTTTACAGAGAATGGTCAATAAAAGCAAAAATACATATTGAGTTACAATTCTTTAAAAATGATTTGTTAAGGTTGGAGGTCAGAGAAGACTGGCCACATACTTTCTGCCATGAGCCAGTGTGTGGCTGGCAAACTGTGGACCCAATTGCAGAACACAGGACTGAACATAAAACAGTTTTATTGCTGGATTTTAAGGAGGGAGATACAAAAATACCAAAACTCTCACACAAATCAAAAACTTACTAGTTTCCAATACTGATAATACAGATCACACGCAAGGAGAAGTATGACAACAACATGACTATGAACAAAAGAAGATGGAAGACTTAAATACACACATGAGGTAAGAACAGAATGGAAACACCTGGAGAACACAGGTGAACAGAATCTACAAACAAACAAAGGGAAGGAAAGCAAAACAAAATACACATGGGACATGAGACAAAATTAGACAGGGAACATAAGCTCATAGACAGAGACCCAGACTCAAAACATGCAAACTCTATGTAGCAAAAGCATAAACACAGAGACATGACTGAGAGAGGACACAAGAGTCACCTGATAAAACTAACAGGACCAGACAACCACAGAGACAGCGAGAAAGAGAAACATGATGGGGACCACAAATGATGATAACCAAACATTACAAAACTAAGATATAAATCATTTATATCCTTTTCATCACATCCAAGTTCTTAAACAATCAGGCTCCATCCTATCTTTAAGATTTCATACTACCTATAAAACCCCAACAGACTGCGGGCTTGTTTGTGGTTCCTATAGTATTTAAAAATACAATGGGAGGCAGATTCTGCAGTTTCTGTGATTGTGCATTTTGGTTTTCTGAAGCTCCAGCAATATAAGCTGTTCGAGTTCAGTTTCCATCTCCATCTGCAAACTGCCAGCCACACATGAATGCATGGCAAGCTGCTCCAGGCCTTCTACCTCTCCTCAGTGGACAGTAAGCTCTCCTACTGCCTGGGTGTTTGGTACGCAGGTACGCTACTGAGAAAGTGTAAAGTGAAAGGGTAATTAATACTGCCAAAAAAAAAATCATTGACTGCCATCCCTGGATGCCATTGTCAGATCCTACTGTCTCAGAAAAATCAAGGCCATCACAGGTGACCAATTGCCACAACCCCAGCCATGGTCTGAGCAACCCTCATCACTCAGACCACATGCACACAGACTCTACTCAGACCAAACCCTTTGCACTACTTTCAAGCACTTTGCGACGTGTCCTCTAATGTGCCTTTTACATTGTGTGTCTTCTTCCTGTTTTGTATATATTCCTCTTGCTTGTATGTACTCTCCTTGTCTGTTATTTATTCCTGCTGTCTTAATATTTATATTTATTCCTGCACCGTTTGTGTGGAACACCAAAATTTTTGTTGTACAATGTCAATAAAACCCTATTCTATTGTCTATACACCACTCTGCATTTAATGATTAGTCATCATTAATCTCTGGCTCACTTCCAAAGCATGTCTTGGTCCTGTCTTCCTCCCCCCACCCAAACCGGTCGTGGTAGATGTCCTGAGTGTGGTTATTCTGGAGGTTTCTTCCTTTTAAAAGCTTTTCCTCCCCATTGTCACCAAAGTGCTTGCTCATATGGGTTCCTATAATTGTGCTGAGTAAGAGCTAGGCATGCCACTACAAACTAAACACAGACCAAAGGTAAACCAAAACAGAGACAAGGACTGACTACACACACAGAGATGAGACAAAGAGTGGGTGAAAATGAGAGGGGACAAACAGTGTTAAAGAAGAATTAAGGAATATGAATATAAATAAAAACTTCTTATTAAGTCTTATTCTAAATCTTGTTCTTACTGTTATCTCTTCCAATTTGTTTGGTGAAATTTCTAGGAGCCAAGTTGGGCAAGTAGGGTCAGTGAAGACTGCCCCACAGGTTGTTTACAAAAGGTTGTTTCAGGTTATTTGATTTTACATAAAGAGTCCAAAACTTTAGTTTTACTACAGCATGTCTATTGGTCATACTAAAAAAAGGTAATTCAGTGTATTAGTGACTCGCTAATATGTTGTAATAACTCTTCTCCGCAAAGGAATGAAAAAATATAATGCTATGAATGCGCAAAATCATTCAAACATTTACCACCAGGGCATAGCAATCACTGGGTCATACTGGGATCAGTGTGGGTAAAATCAGATGCGTGCTGTTGGTGGTTTAAACATGGATTAACACAGTAAAGCAGACAGACCAGCTCTGAATCAGTTCCTCTCCTCTCCTCCACTGGATGCTCGGAGTCGGGTAACCAGAGGCTGAACACTCAAGCACCGCATCTGATCCCAGCAGAGCTGTTACTCGGGTCGGGCTCTGAAGGAACTGGAGGTTCCTGCTGACCCCAGGTTCTGAAAGAGAAAAGGAGAAAAGGAGAGGGTAAAGGTCAAACATAGTCTAATACATTCTAAGACACACACAATTTGGCCACGTGTCATTTTATAAGGATGCCGTGTGAAAACAACAGCAATCACCTGCTTGTTAACCAGTCAGCCAAAAGAGCATTTTTAGCATTCATTGTGTTCCATTTTTTCACAAAGGTAGTGAAGGAGGATTCTGCACAAAACTGGGTAAATAATTTCCTTACAGTAATTTTGTGCATGGATGGATCATGGGTGGTTGTGTTGAACCAGAAAATGGTGAATTATTGGCTTCCATAAGTGGGCAGGAAATAAAATAATCTATCCCCTCTCTTCTGCTTTTCTTTTCAGAGTCACGGGGTGGAGGGACTGGAGCCTATCACAGCTGTCTTAGAGTGAGAGGCAGGGTAGACCCTTGACAGGTTGCCAGTCTGCCGTACACCTATGGGCAATTTAGAGTTTCCAATTAACCTATCCCCACTAACTGCATGTCTTTGGATTGTGGGATGAAACCAGAGTACCCGGAGAGAACCCACGCAAACACGAGGAGAACATGCAAACTCCACACAGAAAGACCCCGGCCTGATGGTGGACTTGAACTCAGGACCTTCTTGCTGCAAGGCAACAGTGCTAACCAACATGCTGCCCTGGCAATGAAACAAATGCCCTCATTTTCATCGTATTAGCATGTAAACCATTGGAGCTTTTTAAACTATGATAGATGCATTATTTAGAAAGTTCTTCATGTTTATAAGATTGCTGATTGATGTGACTGCTGTCCTTGGTCCTGCAAGATTAGCTGGTTCTGAGGACAGATGTGAACAGCTAATCAGTAATCATTTACATGCCAATGAGTAACCAGCTTATTGAGAAAAATGTGTCAGTAAAGGTAAGCTATAAGAAGCATAAAGTCAAAGGTTCTGCTTTTGTTTCTGTCTTTGCTCTTGGGTGGAGTTCCTTGAATGACATCTCAGCTGAGGACCTGACACTAATTAGAAAGCAACTATTGAATTTCTCCAAGGTTGAATACACCTAGCATCTGTGTAGAGAGGTACAAAAAACAAGCTTAAATAAAAAGCTCTTTTCGGTTGTATTCCTACCTGTAAACACAACACAAGAAAAACTAAAATGGTTCTTGGTTGGAAATATAAAAGGTCTCAGTTAGGCTGATGCAATAAAATGGTTTCTTCAAAGACATCTGAATCATCTGAATTTTGATGGGTTTTTTCCCTGGTTTCCAGGGTGATAAGTCCCTGCAAGGAATTCCTTAAAACATACAAGGTCTTCTAAAATCTTTTAGTTTGTGCTATGAGACTAGGCTTAATTTCTTTTTTTTAAAAAAAGCTTGTAAATAACTGTCAGGTAAGCATCTGTATGCAGAAAGTCTGTACAAGATCATTTCGTTTAGTGGAAAAAATCAACAATTTAGATGAAAAAGATTGAATGTGTTATGAGAAATCATCTCTCGTTTCTCACCTAATTCTGCTTCCACATTGACATTTCTCTATTTGAAGTCTAACCTTGATGAGCTCATGCAGTTTTCCACCAAGCTGATTTGAAACCCAGATGCATCTCCAAGAAAACAGTGTGAATGTGCTCCTTTGATGGACAAACCAGAAGAAGTCACATTGTGTTTCATCCACTGGCAAAGGCGTTTAGTGGTCTGATATCAAACACAAGCTTTCATCTAAGAAAACCTAAGGCCCCGAAGGAACACACACACACGTACACACACACACGTACACACACGACATCTATACTGGGTCAGGCTTGTGTTCATCCTCGGGCACCCCCTCAGGGTGAAAGAAAATCTGACTCAGAGTGACTAGACCCAGAACCAGACTATTTCCTTTAGTAGACAGGAAGTTACATCATTATCATAATCACCATCATCCGCCAGTGGCACTGACACACACCAATATGCACCTCTAACGTGAAATATTTTGTAATCATCTTTTACTCCTTATCTTTGAATAGGCATGAAGTTATTTCACATCTGCTGCTCGTCGTGAAATAAGAAACAGTCGAGCCGTTTCCCCCTGAAAGTCAATTAAGGTGATCAGAGCATGAATATTCTAAGATTCACAAGTTTCTCAAACTTGTGTGACCCTTTGCAGATTACAGCTCATTTCATTCATTTAATAATTAAGACCCTTTCTTTGGTACATTTTGCTTGTAGGTCAGATCTCTTACTTCCAGAACTGCCTTAAAGTCTAAATAAGGTGCCCTGGAAACATTCGTCAGAGATGGTTGATGGTGCTCACCTGACACCAAGTACCACCATATTTTTAAATTCACTAAAATCAGCCTTTCTTTTCTCATTGCCCTCAATACCCAACCAGCCTGTTAAAAAGGCTGCTTTTCCTTCCAAGTATCACCAAGAGCAGGGATGTCACTTTGATCTTAAGAGCACCAAACCAGTGGAACTGCCCTTTTCGTCAATGTATAGAAGTTAAATTACACATTTAACGTCAAAATAAAAAAAAAAATACTTCTGTAGTAAATCTGTTCATCTGTCAGCATGACTCTTCTATTGTAAGAAATGTATAAAAAGACAGAAAACATGCCGTCAGCTCATTGTGCAGACTCTCCTGTCCCGTTCTAAAACTGAAAACTTTTGTTTATTAGTGGAATATGTTAATGTGAATCCCACATTTCTATTGTAGTTAGTGAAAAACAGGAACTTTGTGTAATTTAATTGTTCACCTGTTTCTTATTTACTTTAGTGTAGCATGAACAGCCATGAGGGAGGTCTTTATCAGTCAGAAATGGTGTAAAACATATGAAAATACAGTTTTACATACAGAATTACATAATTTATAAACTGTGTGCTTCTTTAGAATAATACAGGGTATTTACCTTACAATACAAAGCACCTTGAGGTGACTGACCTGACCTGACCTGAACCCAGAATCAGCTGATACAAAAACTGCCTCAATAACAGTTTAAGTAACACAACAAACTGCCCGTTTGTCTACCCGTTTACATATTTACATATTTACATATTTAATTCAGCAAGTGTTCCCTGCACTAGGATCCCATCTGTGAGGTTCAAAAGTATACACATGGATAATAACTAAGATGTAAAGCTGTGCAACTTCATGATTTTGAAAAAAAAGAAAAGAAAACAAAAGAATCGGAAACGTAAAACAAGCATCATCAGCAGAAAACCGTGCGCAGTGAACACGAGCAAAGAAAAGAAGAAGCAGCGGGAGAAACGTCCACGCAGCAGATTTTCTTTTTGTGTGTGCTGGTCGCAGAGGCGAGTAAAGAGCGAGGGATCACGGAGATAATCACTGAGCAGAAGCGTTGATCCTTTAATATTTTCACAGGCACGTCGCCCAAGGAGGCTGTCAGCAAATCAGATGAAACACTGACACACCTCGCATCACAACGAGGAGGACACACGCGCAGTCACGAGCTATTCACTGCATGCAGACAAAGACACACAACACCTTTGAGGAACGACGACAAATATATTCAGCGCTGTTCTCCTCAGAAATGTTGAAACAAAGATAAACTGTCCCTTTAATGCGTTTTCGAAACTAATTATTAGATAAGTCATCCTTTTCCCAGACCTTCAGCTCAGTTCACTGCACAAACACACTCAGAGTTATTATTTGTACCCAACAGGCCAAGAGGCGTGTTCTCACATCATGTTATTACCATGTTCTCGTCTCACAGCCTTGTTTCTTCTTTAGTTTTTATGCTGCACCAAACTAATAAAGGTAATAAATCACAGACTTTTAAATGCTAGAAAAGTAAATTTAATATATATAATCCTTTTATTTTTATGTGTTTATTTGCATTTAAGGAGGACTTTTAACTCACAAACCAGAAAAATCTGGGACTGTGTGGATTTTCCCAGTTTGGTGTAGTCGGTAGCTTTCGGTACTCCTCCTACCCACTTGTGATTGTGCACTCAGTTATAACAAAGGTTTCAGCCTTCACCACATCACCAACCAACCACTTAAGTGTATGGTTAGGATTTAGCCAAGAACAAAATATGCATAGTGATATGAACATAGCCTGACCCTAAACAGGTAAGTTTTTAGGGTCAGTAAATGTGGTAAGAGATCAAAATCAAGGCACTACTTTGTTCACTGTTTCCGAACAAATCCCATTTCCAAGGTAAGTGGATTAATCCCGGTCCTGTCTGGATTCTGATAGGATTTAACCTGCTGAATTTTTTTTTGTTCATTGGGACTTCCAAGGCTTAATTTTTAACCTTTAGTGTATCTCACAGGAGGATGTAAGAGGACATTTTTGGCTCGCTGCGATCCTGCCTTCTGTTCTTCTGTCCTTTCGTAACTCGGGTTCATCTGAAGGTAAAAGGTAGGCTTCCTGTAAGAAATTTCCATACTTGAATTTCCAAGTGTTTTCTTGCTGCAGTGGAGTCTGAGAGACAGAGTTTGAAAACGACTCTCAGAAACGTATTTTTTTGTCCTGTGTCACGGAAAATTGAAAAGCTGGCCTGGCTCAATGGGAGGATCCATAGTATCATGTTTTGTCTTTATGTAATATTTTAATACTAGATGTACTGGACTTTACTGTAAGTTATCTTATGTGGAATTTTCTGAATGTATTCTGTGGACAGTGGTAATTAGAAAATGTTGCTTGTCTACACTTGTTGTTGTTGTTGTTTCTTAAAAGTGATGCAAATTGCTGTTGCGTTCTGTATTATTGTTTTGACCCCTTTGCAAAGGCAAATTAAAACCTCACGAAGACGACATGTTTATGTGTAGATCATTTGTTTTAAATTTCTATAACACCACAGAGGAACAGTCTGAATGGATGCACCCCATGAGGCTAACTGCATATTGAGCCACAAGGTAATTATGTGTAACTATTTAATCTTTCATGGCTTGCATATGTTCCTCAGCAGTAAAAAAAAAGGCATATTTATGCTGTTTCTTATATCAATGCAGAGCTGCAGAGAATAGTGCTTCCATGTCACAGATTTGGGATTTGAATCTTACTGGTTGGCTTTCTCCAGGTTCCTCCCATGTGGCACCTGTCATTTAGGTTAATTGATTAAATTAACCTAAATGACAGCTTAAAAGATTTTAATTAGGTTAAAAGATTCTAAATTGACTGTAGGCGCAGATGTGAGTCTGATAAAACCTTTGAGTGGTCAGTGAGACTAGACAGCAAATGAAACTTTTAAGAGCTCTGTGCTGTGTTAAGGTACAAAATTGTCATCCATTCAAAGCTGGTAGAAACGACACGGGCACAAATCCTTGCCATCAAGGATATGATCGCAGTATCTTAGAGGGTACCTCTCCAGCAGAAGGTGTTTTATTTTGAAAAACATATTTTCCTAAGAGTCTATTGTGGGCTTTGTCCACCTACTTTTATATTAGAATCATGTTGGAAGGGGTTCATAGAATGTGTTCTCATCCCAAGGTGGCAAATACCTGAATTCTGAAAGTTTGTTGTTTTGTTTAAATATGATGACAAAAGTTTGTTGTTTTATTTTTTTACTTTATCTATGAGGACGTTTAACTGGTCTCAGAATTACCGTTAGGTCATGGCATTGACTTCAAAAGGAATCTCACTGTATCACTGAGATACCTGCAGTTTTTCTTTAGAACAGGTTGGCAGAGAGAGGGACAATTAAATAATCCTGGCTTTGAAACTCTGTTGCACATTGTACTCCTGTAGCACAACAGTTTCTTATTTTTATTCTTTGATCGACAATACATGCTAAGCTAGGCTAATTAGCTGCTGACTGTAAATTTACTGTTCATCAGTGGGGGATACCAAGATGACAGGTTGGCATGTTGTGTATAGTTAAAATGTGCCAAAGGAAAGTGACCAACAAAATAAAACTGGAACTGACTACAAAATCAAACATATATCCATGTGTCTAGAGACAGAGGGCGCAAAACAGAAAGGAAAGGTAAAAATTAAAAATGTGTTCCAAAGAGGTCACAACCTGTTTATGAGAGTTGTGACCTCTTCTTTTACCTTCTCAATTTATTTGGTTGATTTGGAATGGTCATCCATGCTGATTCAATTTAGTTCAATAAAAACATGTAAAAAGGCCAACGTGAATCTTACCAAGCTCTAAGCCAAAAGAGGTCCACTGACAACTTCAATCCATACCTTCTAACACACCATGTTTTTATGGGTGTTTGCAATGTAATTTTCCTCCATATTCCATACAAACATACAGTAACATTTCTGAAATAAGTTACATTACTTTGATGAAGTAACCAAACCTGTTATATTACATCATTTTATCTTAACACTCCATCCAGACGTGTAGAGCTGAGCCCTGAGCAGAAATGCAGTCAGCCACACACACAGCGAGGCATCATTCAGAGAAATCAGACGTGATAATCCCTGACCTTTCACGTCAGATTTCCTCTGATGGCTCCATTTGATAAAAACTTTACAAAGGCAAAGTTAATCAAATCTTCATGGATTAGAATGATTAAAGTTTAATCATGTGACCCATTAAAACGTCATATACATCAAAGAGAAAAGAGGATAAAAAACATGAAAGGATTAAAGGGAAAACCTTGTCAAAGCCAGTGGCTTTGCAACACAGTGGGGAAACACTGTATGTCACCCTTAACCAAAACTTTAATAGACTAAAACCATCAAACTTTATACATCAAAGGTAACAAGTCCAATTTTTTTTCATTTTGTTTCTGTTGACACCAAAATCAGGTCGAGATTTTCGCTTCATAAAAGTACAAGTCTTATCAAATGTTTCACAACATGTGGAAATGGAAGGAAAACCGCTTCACTAAAGGCTAAAAAAGCCAGATTTCGTTAAGCTTACATGTTGCAACTGAATGTGTGAACCGACTGAGTGTCCATTTATCTGGCAACAGATTCGACTCAGGTAGCTGAGTCTGTGTCAAGTATCTGTGAGAATCGCACATTACAGCCACATCTCTGCAGGATGCTGCAGAGCAGATACACAGCCTTCAAAAGTAAAAATGCTCCGCCAGGCTTACAACAACAGTCGGTTAAATGCAGTTAAATGCAATCAGGAAATATGTATGCCATACAAAACCTGCACTGATTTATATTTTGGAATTTTGCTATTATTATCGTTATTGTTAGTACTATTATTATTACTGTTATTGTTGTTGTTGGTATTGTTACTACTACTAATAATAATAATGTTACAACATTTATTGTTGAAACTGGAACATTGTTTTCTTTTACTTAATCCAGATAAATGTATACTCATTCAACTTGGTAGTAAAAATAATTTAAAAAAATGTCAAAAACACGGTCATTTTTAGTTTTACTACCTGGTTAATAATTTTTTACAACATCATGTTGATGGTTGTATTAAGTTTTAAATGATTTTAATAGTGGGTTCAAAAACTGTTTAAGAAAGTAGGCACCATGAGTGGCAACATTTCTAGTTCTTGTTCAGTCACCAAAATTGAGTCCTTTTAAGGAAAGATTGTGCTTAAAATGCAAAATGCTACCCCAAGAGTATACCTGTGACACTGCATCTCTGGAGCTGTTTTTCCATTCTCTGCACGTCTTTCAGTCAGAAGCAGAGTATTTAGTCCACATGGGGTCTTTTATTTTGAAATTTAAATAGCTGTTCTATGCCATTCTTGTATCTGACTTCCTGGTTTCTTTATCTGCTCCATGCAGCTTGATGGGTTTGCATTAAGAGATGGATACAGCACTATCTGTGTTGCAAGGAACCACTTCTGGGACACTTCTGAAATCCACATCTTGTGGGATCTCATGGATCAGAAAACATGATATTCCTAAAGCAAGAGCGGTGAAAATTCTCACTCCTGCTGTAACACATGTATCCTGGGATGATGATAAAGGACCTTGTGGAGCCAACTTCAGCAAAACACCAGCATTTGATGTCCTGGTAATGGGGATTGGCTCAGTTGATTGGTAATAAAATCTTCATTACAAACTACTATATAATTCATAATCAAATGATCATGTTTGGCATTTTTCCTTCTTTATAACTTTATTGCAGTTATATTTTATTTGTTTTGTACTTAAGTTTTGTCTGTTCTGAAAAAGCTATTATAAGTTTTTATTCATATTTGTGTAATTCTTAAAAGTAAGTTAAGTTGTGAATGTGGTTTTCTGTGTCACTGTGTGCGGTGATGAAAGAGCAGTTTAGCTGAGAGTCAATACATGTACTTTGAAATGCAAAGTACATGTGATTATCCCTCTGAAGGTCGACGCTTCGGCTGCACGGAGCCCCCGCTGGGAACGAACGCGGGAACACTTCACCAGTTCGACTCAAAGTGGTGTTTAACCGCGGAGAGAGTGAGCTAACACGAGCTGTAATCTGAGTGATGAAGTGGACGCCGTATGGACTCGTATAATTGGATGATGTGGAGTGTACGGACCATCAGCGGCTGACAGACTCCCTGCAGACCGCGGAGAAGCTGCTCCCTCTCAGCCCGGAGACGTGTTATTAAATTCACATATATTCATTACATCACATTTCATTTTAAAATGAGACATCCAGGACTGGGAGGAAATGAACAAGAATTACTACCTGACAGAGTGATGACTGTAGGAAAAGTATAACTCACCGCTAAGTAAAAACTGCTGGTGCAGCACCTAACCATAAAAAGACTGGAAATCTAAACCAGTCCACTTAACTGTGATAATACAAACATTTGAAATATACATCATGTATTATACATGTTTACAATCAACACATTATCCCAAAATATTGCAACGCAACAAGATAAATGAAATCAACTTAGTCTCAAAAGTTCTTTAAGCCAATGAACAGTTATCAGTGAGCCAGTAGATCAATAGATCTAAAATCATGTGTTTGGAGGGCATCGTTGTTCCATCAGTTACCTGGGAGCACACGGAGCTCTGCGTCCGTCCCCGTCCTGGTGCTGCTGGGGTTATCAGCCAGACAGCGGTATGTAGCCGAGTCCGGGGGCTGGACTCGGCTGACCTGCAGCGAACCTGATGGCAGCACAGCGAGACGGGAGTCAGGTTCAAAGGTCAGTGGCAAGTCCTCTCGGTTCTTCTGCCAGCGGATGACAGGTGTTGGGTCACCTGAAACCTCGCAGCGGAGCAGGGCAGTATCGCCGAGGTACGATGAGACGGACTCAGTGGGGACGACCACTTTGAGTGGACCTGTTGGGAAATGAGTTTTATGAGTAAGAAAAGTATTGACAACAAGTCATTTAGTGTAAATATATACACACAATGGATTTTGTTGAAAACTGTGTGTGAGAGTATTCAGTTTTCTCTGCATGGAATTATCTGTTAGGCTCACCCAGAAAAAAACAAAAGATAGAGAAAATAATCAGCAGCTTCAGGTTTTGTACACTTCAAATTTAGAACTGTGTAAGCAAATACTACAAGGGGAAAAGCTGCCCTGAACTGTGTACACTGCAATAAATCACTTTGTTCTTTCGTATAATGTATCTAACTTCCATCATCTTGGATTTTAGTTTTTGCTGCTTCAGTGACCTTGGACTACTGACGATGAACCAGTACTCTGGTTAGAGTGCCTATCCAACTCCTAGCAGCTCTCCAGATCAGTAGAAGAACTACTCCACCAGCTGCAATCAAACATGGTGGTCTTCAGACATTCAACTGCTGGACCAGAGAGGATCTCCACAGAAATAACTAACAAGCAAGCCAGCCAGAAAGCACACGACACAAAGCACCGCTACTAACTGGCTAGAATACAGAGACCACAAATAAATCGATGAGGATGTCATAGTCACACAGGAAAAAAAAATAGAAATGTTTAAATGACTTATTAAATATGCCTAAAAACTATCAATTGCAAACAGTTTAGTCCAATACTTTTAATGCTGTCTTTGTGGGAGAGAATATAAATAGCAAGCCGCTCTAGGTCATTTGGCACCGAGTCAGCATAAAGAAATTAAAAAGCAGTTGCAGCAACACAGGTCACCTTTATGGATTATGCTGCAGTGCAAAGTTTCATCCTATGGTACATGCTTAAGTTCAGATAATCTAGAAGTATAGGGATGGCCATTTCTATTATGTTGCATTTGTACTTTGATTATTAAGAATGTGCAGTGTGGTTTCAAGAGTATGATTGGAAACTGTGTAAAGACAGCAAAGAACCACTGTGGCTGGAAGTAGAGATTAAGTAGTTAACTTCCAATGAGTGACCGTCACTCCAGCACCACCACTGCATGTCATTAACGTTGTTCTTCCTGTTCAACACGAGTTTGTCCTTCCCACTATTGCCTGTGTCTGTCTCTCTAGTATTGTACTTTGCTTTCAATATAAAGCATCCTGAGCTCCTGGTTGTCGTTAATTAGTGTTCTATAAAGTTCAATCAAACTGAATCAAGCAGGTCTTGTTTGGTCAGTGATCAGTTTGTGGTTTTTAATCACCTACATTGTCAAAGTAACCAGATGAAAAGCCTGTGTAGTCTAAATGCGACATGAAAACATTACCATTAATACCCACAGCCTCTGCATGAGAAACAAAAGACACAAGCAGCAGAGGTGAAGAAGAAGGGAGCTGACAGCAAAGGTTTCTCAGGTCAACAGGGAGAAAATAATAAAGACAAAGATGGAGCAGAAGAAGCAGCGAAACTCAGCGGGTGAAAATGTGAAAAACTCCAGAGAGAGTTAGACTGGGACCAGCGGGAGGACAGATGAAAGTCAGGCAAGAGACGGAGAGACAGAGACAGCGCGGCCAACCAATGTAGGGCCTGCTGTGTTCAGGACCCACACAGTTTCCCGTCTGATCAGATTCCCTTCAACAACAAACAGCCTGTAGCAACAGAAACACAGGAACGTTCTGACTGCCGGCCTCGCTCGGCTCTTGCAGGGCATTTTATTATCTGAAGCTCTAGTGCAGTTGTGTTTTAATTTCAACATGGCTGCAGGGAGCTCTGAGTAGATTAAGAAGAAGGTGCAGGAATGTCAGGAATTCAATAAAGAGCAGTGTTGTTTTCCTCTCTATTCTCTCTGAGAATGTAAAGCAGATTAATTGATTAAATGAGAATCTGAGCTTTTTGACATACAGTTCATTCAGGTCTTTGCGTGGGCTCGTTTTTTTCTCCTCCTCAAAGACACAGCTGTGAATATTGTATTCCTGACATATTCCACTTTATTCATCCACTTTAGTACTTGTGTGCAACATCTCTGCTGGTTCCATGTCAACAAGTTTCCAAGGGAAGTCAGTATTCGAGGCAAAAGGTAGGAAATATTGTGATTACGATAAGATTAGACACCTACATAAATCGCAGAGGGGAAGAGGTTTGGTCATCCATGAACTGTGACAAAATAAACAAGCAAGGCAGGTCACAACAACCACATGCTGCCTGAGCAGAGCTGTACATCCAGCTGGATTTATAGTGTCTTTATGATGTAAACTCTGATATATTATGCTATATTTACACCACAAAGCCGTTTACAAAACCCTCACTAAGAGCGGACTAATATCCAGCATTCAAATTAGCTCTTTTTTTCTGTTTCATAAATTAGGCAGGAAAATTTGTCTTTATTCATCCCGTCGATGTTGGGACCAGTGGAGCAGCTGTGCTTGGTTAGCAGTACAGGTGTGAGCTAGTACACTGGTCAAGGGTGACATGAATTTTAAGTTAACATTGGTCCAGGAAGTAAACCATGCAAGAACGGGAAGAATATACAAGCAGAAGGATGATCAGCGTTTGACCTCTTTAGAAAATCACTTCAATTGGTAACACAGTACAAACAGAAAACGTCTGTTACATCATGATAGAGTCCGTTTTCCACGTGTGTGCACACATGTGTACACCTGTAATACGTGCAGGTTTTGGTTAGAGAGACAATCAAGGTTGGTGTGGACCTCAGAGGATAAAAAGAACTACCAACACAAGCTGCAGTCCAAAATGGTAGAGCTGGAATACCTCTGAGGAAACCCACGGAGATGCAGCTGAATAACAAGCACCATGACAATAGGGACACAGCAGGGGAGCTAGCTTGTAGGGGAAGAGAAGAAAGCAAGTGCCTGGGCTTGTTATTAGCAGCAACTGAAATGTCAAAATAAGAGCAAGTGGACTGCTGAGTAATAAATTAGTGGCTCAGGATGTCATTCTCTCAGATGGGTATTATCTGCATCCAAATATATCTGGGCCTGTCTGAGTAAATTCACTACTGATATTTAGATTTGTATATGTTGTTTTTGTTATTTACTCTTAATTCTTTTAGTTTGTGATCACACAAAATGTATAAAAATAATGAAATTAGCAAAGCAGTGTCTCTAAAATCAGTTTTAAATGCATCGTTTGACAGCTGACAAGGCCTAGTTCAAGGCATAGTTTTTTAGGTCAGTTTTCTGGCATGCCAACTGCTGAGCTTTCAACATACATATATACATTCAACCATTTACTGTCCTTAATTTCTCAAAATGTGATGTCTTGTAGGTGCATTTTAACAAGTTTAAAATAACATTTTGGAGAAAGAACACCTGCTTCATGTAGAAAAAGTTTGATAGACAAGCAATGTTTATTTTCTTGAGTTTTGAGCAAGTTTCTAAATCCCAGGAGTCCTACATTTCTGTCAGCATACAAATACTCTGAAATATTTTCATCTGGAAAAGAGAGAAAACGCAGTTTGGGGTCTGATTTACTTGTGGTTTGTGTTTTTGTTTCATGCTGGTTTGAATCGGTTTATGCTTCCTCCATTTTACCTCGACACACAAACAGCCGGGAAACCTGAACTCGGAAACAAACGTCAGCTTTCTTCTCTTTCTGTTCTGAGACATTAGAGAAGCTCCAGTTTGACTCTCGCATCGTCAGACAAGCCGCCGCTGGATACAGGGTTTCACAGCGGCGGGGACTTGAGCGGCTGTGACATCACGCATATCGGAGACGACGGTAACACTGATGTGAATTTGGAGTGTGCATCTTACATAAGTTCTGCTGCTGTCTTCTCCTATATAGATCACTATGCTGCCTGCAGCTGGGAGAAATGGCACACACACACAGATTTTTGTTTTTGTTACTTGCCAATCCTGCTACCTGTCTAACCCACAAACATTAAAGCAACATATAAGATGGAAAACAGTGCTTTCTATTGTACTGTGTGGTCAAAGGTTAATGCTGAGCATTAAAAAAACTGAGCCCTCATCACGTTACTTTTTCATTTTTATTCATTTGAGCTTATTTAGCCACGACTACAACAGAATAATGTACAAGTAGGACTCGTGGGAACAGTATGAAGATTTAAGCTGACAGCAAGCTTTTGGCTTTTTTCATTGCCAGGACATATGAATATAATTTCACAAAATAAATACTGCTGTCAATCTAATTCTAGACGTAAAACACAATGACGCTGTGCACACATGCACACTGAGCACAATAAAAATGAGATTCAAGGATTCATTTACAGGGTAAAATTCAGCCTACTCCACAGCCTGTGTGGACATCTGGACTGATTAGAATAGGAGTGTTTTCTGTTCCACCAGACACTCATGAGACGACCGTGGCTGAAAAGATGTCTGTCCAGACAGAGCTTCATATTTAATCAGCTGTTGTGCCGGCTGACTGCAGTTTACGCTGGCTGGAGAATCAGTCATCCATTTTAAACCTAATAGGCAAAATTATGATTTGGGACATGTTTTGCTGCATAGCTGGTATATTCATGAACAAGGCCAACAAGTGGAGGTTTTTTAAGATGCAGCTGTGTAAACTTTAAGGTCTGTTATGCGTGAGGCATTTAACGCCACTCATTAAACATGTGGCCCACGGGGACAAAACTGGCCTGTCAGATCAGCATGACTGGATGGGTTTGAAAGGACTGAAAATGGAAGAGAAGTTAATACTAACTCCAAATTTACCAATAAGATTTTCTCCTACCTTGTAACTGACTGATGCAAATGACCTCTTCTGTTCAAATAAAGATGTGTGAATTGATTTGTCATGTATAATCATGGTTAATTAGCTGACAAATATAAATTTAATCAACTGAAATTTACAGGATGATGAGTACACTGAACGTATTTTTTTGCTTTAGAAGTTTACTATTATAAATCTATGAGTAAGTCTCCATGCTTAATTGTTAATACTTGATTTCTCTAATTCAATGGAAAAGTGCAAAAACTTAAAGGATCATTAAAGTTCAGGTCATGTCACTCGTCCTCCTTCAGTACTTCGCACTCTA